GGGAACTGATTTCAAAAATTGCGTCATAGACACCTGGACCAGACAGCATGGTATGGAGTGGGTGTTTCATACTCTTTATCATGCACCAGCCTCTGGGAAAACTGAAAATTACAATGGACTGTTAAAACCATATTGAAAACAATGGATAGTGGGACCTTCAAACATTGGGATGTAGCAGAGGCCACCTGCTAAGTTAACACAAGAACTCTACCAATTGAGCTGGCCCTACCCAATCGAAACCTCCACATACTGCAGAAGGGAATAAAGACCCTGTGGTGCATGAGGAATATGTTAGGCAAGACAGTTTGAATAAGTTCTGCTTCAAGCAAAGGCAAACCCATCCATGGGATTGTTTTTACTCAGGGACCTGGATGCACTTGGTGTGTAATGGAGAGGTTCAGGAGAAATGTGGTGTGTACTTCAAGGGGACTTGATTTTTGGGTGAAAACAGTAATATTAAATTGTATAATGTTGGTTGCTGAATGACACTGCCAGTGTAAACAGTGAGAACAAACAGTGAGAATGGACCGCTCCAGATGCACCAGTCATGAGCTCCTGTTGCAGCTTGCAACCACCCAACAGCACACCAGCCCTTCTGCCTTAGAAGACACCTAGGACAATGGAAATGATAGTCATGAACTGAATGAATGCAGCAGACAACTTGAAAGGATTAGGCCAGTGACTATGGAAATGATACCTGTGCTTGTGTGTGTGTGTGTGTATGTACATATATATATGTGTGTGTGTGTGTGTGTGTGTGTGTGTGTGTAGATGGAAGGTGTGGGTTTTGGGCATGATGTAGATGGCATAGAATAAGGCATGGATAATGTCCTGGTCCTGTTCAGGACAGTTTTAATTTTTGCAATAGCCAGAAGGGGCATGGCTAGGACACAGAGGTTATTCTATACCACCTTGTTTCATTTTTTTGGGATGGGGAAGGGCTTCCTTCTGGTTTGGATTGGATGGTGGAAGGAGCAGTTGGGCACTGTTGGGGATTCTGTGGGGGGAAGGTTTGAGTAATTGTATATGACTCATTCATTTGTTGTTGTTGTGGTTTTTATTTTCTTGTACACTCTGTTATTAGTATTGTTGCTGTAACTTTTCATTGTCTCATTTCACTGCTGTTTTCAATAAATTGTTTTTATCTCAGTCTGTCATCTTATCTTTTGTGCCTCCAATTCTCTTCAGCTTGCTGCTGGGGAAAAGGGGTGTGGTTGAGTGGTGTATGGTTTGAAATGTTTCAGTGGGAACATTGAATTGGGGAGTATCATTCCTAAACCACAAGTGTCCAGATTTGGTATCAGATTATTTTTTTCCCTCTCCCTATTCAGTTCTGTATATTGTTGTTTTGTTCTTTCACTGAAAAAGGGACAAACAATTTTTAAATATACTATTATAAATTGGCATACTTTGAAAGTTTGAGACAGTTTCAAATTAAGGACATTTGGTTAGTTTTTGAAGGACTGTTGGTGCCTAAGGAAATGGAATAGATCACAACAGAAATCAGTCTGAGATAAACTCAGTATCTCTCAAATGAGATTTTAGAAAGAAAAAGAGCATGTAGCTTTTCAGTAATGCATCTTTTAAAAGAGATAATCTTCCATAATCTCATGCTATTATCTGAGATAATTATGAGCAAACCAGGGTCTTTTTCAGCACTTCAGTGTTTTCTAAACAAAAACTTTAGTTTTGAATATTTTTTTATTCTGTCTAAGCAAAATCTTCAGTGGTATCATACAAAAATAATGATCTGTAAGATGCTCCATCTCCAATTCATAAAAGGTTTAACTGTTTGAAACGCATGTTCGTTTGTTTGTTTTAAAAAGGTAAATATCCTTTCTTGCCTTAGATTTAAGGAATTTGTTAACATCATGTGAATAGCATGTGGTGATACAGAACAGATGCAGTGGTTGAGAAGCTGCACTGACATCTGCAAATGCATATAGGAATTTTCCAGCACATTACAGTGGCTTGCTGTCCTGGTTTAGGGCAAATTTGGTAGAGAATCTCCAAAGGAGGGCCCCTCCAGAAAGCAAACCCACACGGCCCCTCCCCCCAACCGGTTCGGGAAGAATTCCTCAGAGAGAAGTGGAAAGAACCTGTTTATTTAACAGGCACAGCCCCCCCCCCCCCCCCCAGCATACAAAATGAACAATACCCGATGACACCACTCTGAAAAAGATGACAAAATCAGAAAGTCTCTTTCGGGGGTGGTTGCTCTGTCCTCAGTCCCTCCGGTGCTGGGGCAGCTGCTGCAGCCAAACGGTGCAAACCTTCGGTGTTCCCAGTCCCAGTCCGGAGCAGGTTGGAGATGGTCGAAGAAAAAGGAGAGGAGAAACAGTCCAGGAAGGAATTTGGACTGTTTAGCTAGAACTAGCTAATAAGCAGAAGCAAAAGAGAGCAGAAGTGAGAGCAGAGAGAGAGAGAGAGAGAGCGCAAAGCAGAAAGCCACAAGCAAATGAAAGCAGTCCTATATACTGCCCGTCTCTGTGTCCCTGATAAAGGAAACCCAAACAAAACTTTCACTCTTCAAAGCCAGTCTTAAAGGCACAGAACATATGAATGGGGATACAAGCATCATAATGTCACCCCAGGACACTTGAGTTAATTCTTGATTATGGCATCAAAAGGTAGTGAAGTCAGAATTCAAAGTTATGCTTAGACTTCATTGAAAGTTTATTATGCATACTGAGCACTAAAAGATGGTTTTAGTCTATGGATATAGAGGTAAAATATTACTGATTGTAAGAGAGAACAGATTTTCATTAAAAATTACAATTCTCTGTAGCTAAGTTCATTAGGACAAAAATTAAGTTAATTTTAACTTAAATTAATTAAAACTTTAAATTATTTAATTTTAAACTAATCTGGGTTAAATCCAAGGCTGGTACTTTGGATTAGAAAGTAGAAAGAAGGAGGAACTCCCTCTGTTATTCAGTATTTTTATAAATGAGATTATGTAAAAGGCAGTACATTTTGAATAAATCCAACAACTGTTCAAAGGCAAAATTTAAATTATGTATGAATGTATATAAACTTAAAGATGCTCTTTTCAAGTATTTTTGCTCACATAATACAATTACATGGAGTTATCACAGTTACTTTCATATAATTTTACATTTTGGAGCAGGTTGATGTGGAAAATAGATTTGTAGAGACCCTCGAGGGGTAGTTTTAGATTATTAGCTTTAAAGCATCTACATCATAGTGTGGCAAAAAGCTGGCCAAAAGCTGATAGGCCAAGAAACACAGTGTATTGTAATTAAGAAATAGTAGGCTTCTGATTGTGATGGCATGAATTATAACATCTGTATTGTCTCAACCTTCTCAGCAGACTGAAAATAAAATGAAGTTTTTAAAATGCCTCTCAGTTGCCTCATCTCTAGATGATTAAAAAAAAAAAAACCCAACAGGTTAGTTCTAATATCTCTCATCAGGGCTCTCTTAATTCTGTTTCTGTCCATTTTTCACTTCTAGGAAAACTTGCCTTTTTCATCCTTTATGATGGTGTTTTGTCCTTACAGAGCTGCTTGGCATGCTGGAGATTGAGCACTTGTTTATTGACTCAAGCAGTCAAACTTTATTCATACCTTACCTTTTGGTAATTAAAGTAGTCCAGTCATGCTGGTAGTTGTGTTGGACTAAAAGGAAGTAGATCCCTTTCACAGGGGTATGTACACAATTAGTGCATGTAGAGCACTGTCTAAAGAAAGAAGCAAATACTATTTTACCTGGTATTGCCAATATACCGTAGGGGATTCTCTTAAAACAAACAACCAACCTCCTTGCTTTCCGATTAAATAGAGACTACATGCACAGAGAATCACCCAGCCCTTATAATGGTTTAGGAATATGTGATTTGCATACAGAATACTTGACAAAAAACCATTTCTGGTATATGGGCTGAACTATTTCAGAAGTTGTCCTGTGTGCCAGGTATATGGTGAGTGCTGATTAACTTCTGGAATTTAGGATATCATGAGGTTACTATAATGAAGACTAGATAGTAACATCTTGTTAGATTTTTCATTCTGTAGTGAAAAGAATTTCAGCACTATATTTTGACCCCAACTTTCAGAAGCATCCTTTGCAAGCTCTTACATTTTTCTTGCATTATTTAATTTGAGTAACTCTATTCTCTTCAATTGTTTGGCATTTTCTATCTAGGATGCTTTTCTTATTCTGACTTTAATAAAAGTGATATTTTTTTTCTTTTCAATGCATTTCAGTAATATCTGCTTTATCATAAAATCCTGATATAATCAGGATAGTATTACAAAATTTTCAGTCCTGTGACTAAGGTTGCCAAAATTTTTACATATTACTGTAAGAATGCTGAGTGCCTTTGTATGACAGTAGAGTCAGAGAATTAGTAGGTAAAATATCCATAGGTTTTGTCTAAGGGAAGCTGGTGTTAGACAATGGGTGTGGTATTCACTTTTAGCTACTGAAATTCATACTAGATGTTTTTCTAGAGTTCTTGTTCTAGCCAAGGTGTGAATACTGCTATCAACTTCCTGCAGTAACTTAAAATAAGATCCTAACATTAGAGCAGGTTTTTTACAAGTCCTAAAATAGATATAATCAGCTTGCAGGCTTGCTTTGAAAAAAGTCCTCATATTCTTAAGTTATTTTGAAAAGAGTGTGCTGAAATTCATTAATTTGGTAGGGAAGAGGTCTTTATACAGGTCAGCATTTCAATATTGTACACATATTGTGTACGGTATCACAGATATTGTGATTCTGGCTCATAACCTACTGATGGGGGACTGATAACGATGAAAATAGTGATTATTATTTTTTACGTATCTAGAAGTATCCTGCCTTGGACCTGTGTAATCTTAAAGGATTAAAAAACACATACCCTGCTTGTTTCAATATCAGAGGTGTCTACAATAAATTGTGTTGTGGCTGCCTTAATTAGCAACTAATATATACACATTTGTTCAGAATTGTAAGTAAAATACTAACTGAGATAAAATGTTGCTCTGTTTTTCTAGATAAAGTGTTATCACAAAAAATACAGGTCAGCTACTCGTGATGTGATTTTTCGCCTTCAGTTTCACACTGGAGCTATTCAAGGACATGGCTTGGTGTTTGGCAAAGAAGATTTGGATAATGCCAACAAAGGTACTTGTCTTCTGTGGTTGGTTGGATGTGTATATATGCGGGTGTGCAAGTATATGCATGTGACGATCTTCTTCAGCACCCATTCTCAAAAGGATTCTTTTTTTTTTCCCCCTTACTTATTTTTGGGGTCAAGGGAGACTGCTTTGAGTTAGTTAAATTGTAATGTGTAATACCAGTAAAACTCTAATGACAGGAAAAGCTCTTCAAGCAAGTTAATTGTCAGAATAATTCAGATACTCCTACACAGTCCTTATCACCTTCTCCCTCATTTAAATGGTGACTCTCTTTGTCACCATTGAAGGAAATAAGATGAGCTAAATTATTCTCTTTTCTGGCTAGTGAAAACCGTCATAAAGTCTGATAATGTGTTTGTGACATAGTCTGAGTCTTTTAATATGCTTCAGAATATCAAAGAATGGACACAGTTTTCAGACACACTTGAAAATGTGTCACACTAGTCCTCATATTTTCCAAATCATACTGTCAGTTTTATTGTGTTCATATGCAGGATTGGAACTTCCTAAGCCTATGTTACTAGCAAACTAAAATCAATCACATTTTCCTGCAGCGTGCACCATAAGGATACCAAAACTTTTGTGGTCAAGTATTGTGGTTTAGGCAATATGGGGAGCAATTTTAATTTTCCTAGGTGTGTTTTCTTTATAAGTCACGTTGGTCTACTGTCTAGAGAGAGGATTAGGATGTACATCTCTTCTGCTTTTGACTGTTTTAGAAAGCAAGCAAAACTCCAGCTGGGATTTATGTGGTCTTTTCTGGAGAATGTGTGGCACAAAAAATATGGCTTTTAAAACCAGATCACTAAGCTGCAAGTGGGAAGGGAAGAGTGATGAGGGTACATGAGAAAGCTGTAGAGAATCCTGATTTCTGAGTGCACTGAAACTGCTCTCCTGGGAAACATCTTGCTGAATTCCTGTCCTTTGTTCTCAGATGACCGTTTCCCTGACTACAGCAAGGTGGAATTAGTGTTTTCAGGAACTCCAGAGAAAATTCAAGGTGAGCATAGAGAACCAAAAATATGCTTAATTTCAAAATAAATCATATTGAAATACACATTTTTTTAAAAAAGTATTTTTCCTCTTTTCTTCCATTTCTCTTGTAAAAAATGTGAAATTTTACACTTTCATTAAAATATATTAGTTATTGGTTTAAATTTGGAAAAGTTAATAAAGACTCTTCATTTATATCAGCATAGAAGTCACCAGATTTAGTTTTAAAGCTATACCAGAACACTTTCTACAACTAGTAGAAAACTTTAATGTATCTGTGTAAAACATAGATAGTAGGTGGTTTGGCTCAACATAAGTGACACAGTGTTCTAGAACATAACTGACTGTGTTATTTTTAAGAAAGAATGCAGTTGCCAAGAATATAATATCCTTGAATATTTAATAATAAAGTTTATAAATCTGCCTTGTTACAAATGTCATCACAGAAACACTCTATATATGGCTTTTTCCAGGCTGCATATAAAGGTAGAGGACCATAGCATTCTAGTCCTATTTGTAACTATTTTTGTTTTAAATGTCCCAGTATATGCATAATACTGTTGCTTTAGAAAAATTTACAGTAGGACTTGCTTTGTAGACACAACCAAAGGTTTCAAAACTGAGAATTTCTTTGTTCCCTAATCTAGACAGAAAAGACAATCTGTGATTTGTATCAGTATCAAAGCCACGTTCACAGTCATGAATTCTTGATGCCTGTGCTTTGCTTTTGAATCACTGCATTATGCCTAAATTCCTCACTGTATCCATTTAAAACCTGAACATTATTTAATGCCTTGTTAAGGGCACAAAAACATGGGTTACTGCTGAAAATTCCAGGTGTTTTCAGCAGAGCATACTTAAATGCAGCAAAACACATTGAAAGCCAGCTGTCTAGTCTCAGATTCTGCAGAGCTGCCACCTTGGAGGAACTGGAAGGGACATGAAGTCACAGTTTTCAGCTCTTCCTGTTTATCCTTAGTGATAAATTGCTCTGGTATCAGAATGATAATCTATATGAATCAGAATGAAATCTGTAACAAAGTCTAATTTTGTCATTCCTTTAAAACTATCTCCTTATAGATACTCATAGTTTCATTCTCAGAAGCTCTTTATCATGTCTGACCCTCTAGGGCTGGGTGGATCATCTTTGTTACTTGTGTTTAGGGACTGATCCAAGTTATCAGCCTACATCATAAACAAAAAGCTCAAGATAAAATTATCTGAATGATAAATGATAAATTAAGCTTTTCTTCTTCTTTTTAAACTGTTTTATTTAACCTTTCTTCCCCTTTTGCTGCTTCTTACATTTCAGAATAGGTAGTTGCCATTCAGGGAGCAAAGGTCTGTCAGAAGGCTACAGACATACGTACATATGTGTGTGTATATAATTACATATGTGACTGATAATTTTTGGTTTCAAACATGTCTCATTTTAGGATGTGAACACCTTCATAATGATCATGGAGTAATAGTTGATTACAATACATCAGACCCACTGATACGCTGGGATTCGTATGAAAATATGAGCCCTGATGGGGAAGGTGAGTAATTTTGTCACATTAGACCAGGGCAAAACATTTTGCAACAGTTCCAGAAAGAAGAAAGGAGACCTCATTTGCTTGAAGGTAATGCCACTTTACTGATATGTGAAGTAGCTTTCTACCCTTCCCTATTTGACATTAGTGGTTCTAATTTAGGAAAGAAAGCTGTAGTAGTTGAGATTCCTGTCAATACACAGAATGAACTGAGACACAACTGATTGATAGAAGTTACTTGTAAATTTGCCTAGAGACTTCTCTTTGTTCAAAAACTTCTATTTGGAATTCTGATACAGAATTTTAAGAACAACAAAATTATATGGTGAGTTTTTAGCTTTTGGTTACTATGTTATCTGGAGTATTTCAGAACATGCACCAGGCTGTTAATAAACAAACACTAAAGGGTGTGCCTATTTTAATATCTTCCTTTGTAAATGTACTTCTTTACAGATTTTTTAGATTTTTTTTCTGTAATCAGACAGCAAAAGATGAGAACCTTCAGTACTGCCTTCAGCTTCTGACTCCAGTGTGAATGCTCTCCTAATGTTTTGCTTGAGTGAATGCTGTGCTTTTAATGGATGTAGTTTTCATGTAAGGACTCAGAATGTTACACCTGTGGCTGCACACGTCAGTGCACATGCGTGCCTGACTTGTTACAAGTAAAAACATCAGATAAGGTATTGAATAGATGCCAAAGCTCTTGTTTTTACAACTTGCTTGTTATCAAATGAGAGACACATGAAGCTAGGATACTTAGGTAGCTGCTCTCTAGGTTCAGTTTCAATTGATTTTTATAGTCTGGATTTGGCATTGACCATCTAATGACCACATCAGTGAAGGCAGAAGCTTACTGGGAGCTTGACCGTCTACCACTGCCTCAATGTTGTAATAAGGGTATTTCCTAATGCACGGGAGACTCCAACCTGCAGAAAACTGGAGGAATAGAGAGAGTGGAAAGAGAACAATCAGTTTATGCAGCAGGTAGACCACTCCATAGGGAGTCATCAGAGTTGATTGAGACTGTGCAGTGTATTTTAGGAGTAACATCAGAGAGACTGAATCTTGACTGGAAATGATGTCTTAATTCCTACCCATGATGTTTCAATTTAATTTATGATTCCTTTCCCTTCCTTCCTCTGCCATCCTTTCCCCCTTCCTTTGCATATAACTAGCCCTCAACAAGCAATGCATTGATGTCAGATATTTTTTAATTGCTGAGATTGATTGGCTAGATGGGTTTGTCCTTCCCATCCTCATGCATTGCATTGTAGGTAACTAAAACAATGCAGGAAGTTGAAAGCAGAGATAAACATGCAGGCAGCACTCTGTTGGAAGATACAGAACTGTATGCTGTTCATGTCTTTGCTAAGAGTTAGTCAGGGCTCATTTTCAAGTACAGCTAGCTTGTCTGCCTGCTGTTCAGAAGTCATATGTGCTACTGAATAGATTTTTATATCTAATTTGTGTGCAGGGTACTTTTTAAATTACCTGAGATAGACCAGAAATATGATATGATAGCATAGATATTAAGAATTTCATTGTACATCTGCAAAAAAACCCACTGGAGTTTAAGCTAGAAAATATACCACAAGATTAGATGCATATAGTTATTCTTTTCTCAAGTAAATATTTATGAGGCAGACTGTTGCCTTATGATATTCAATAACAGAATTGTAGGCAGAGCAATGTCTCTGCATAGGTTGGGCAAAAGATCACGAGGAGCACATACACAGGCAACAGATATATTTTTCTCTTAAGGATGGGGTCTTTACTTAACACAAGTTTGAGCTTAGTCTGCTGCTTAGGGTAAATATACTGCAGTTAGGTAATCTTCTGTGTAAGATTTATAAACACCAGGACAAGCTTCTCTTTAGGATTTGTGCAGATGTTTAGTATCATGCTTGTGTGCTAAAAATGTGTATTGCATCCTAGTTTTCACTAAGGTGAGGGACCACTACGAGGAGATGATGATTTCACATCCAGAATGTGATCAAAGTCAAAAACCTTAGAATATGAGGCCTCTAGCTGTAATCCTGAAGTCTGAGAGAGAATCTCTTCTGTACTTTAGAAAATGTAAAGGTGCAATACATGGCACATTTGAAAGTGCATAACAGTGGTGATATATTTATTTATAAGGTGCAGGGAAGTGTCATATAGAGCACCTTTTTCAGTTCTACTTTACATTAAGTTAAACCCATAGACTTATGTAGGATCTAGTCTTTATGGTTTTACTTGTACCTGTTTTCCCACAGGAATTTCAGTGGTAACAGTATGAGATGTTAGTGTGACAGATGATTCTTATATTACAGTTATACACCTTTTTGTTAATTTCAAAAAATGTGAGCCCTTGAAATTCCTTACCAAGGTGGTCAGGAAGGCTACAGCAGAGCCTTTGTGAACATGAATTGTTTTGTAGGCATATGTGCATGGAATGTGTATTTCCAAGTTGCTATGTTAAAATAGAAATTAGAAGTGAATAAGACAATAGTATCTCTTTTGAAATGGTACAACTATTTGGCTTTATTACCAAAAGAACAAAAGATGGGAAGACATGATAAAAGAAAAATATTCCCAAAGGCTGTTGATTTACTGGCATGATGCAGTATTATGGACATAAGCAACTGCCTTTTAAATGATCTTGAATCCTTTGCTAATAAGATTGTGTACATAGGTGTTGAATGTAGCCAGGCTGTATTCAGTTTGTTATCTGAATTTAGTTCTTTATCCTTCATTCTTAATACTCTTACAGAATTTTGACAATTGGAAAGCAATAAATTATTTGCATTTCTTCTTATAAATACTGTTTCTTTTCCGATCCCTTGGGAAGTGGTCCTCCATAATAGATAAAAAGTTTTATGAAGTTCTTAATTTTCAATTTATGTCAGATTTCCTCCTTCTTGAGCAAGACATTAGCACAGAGACTTCTGTTACAGTGATGTAGAAGTATGCATTTAAGTGTAGTATTCGGAACCAGAAGAATTGGATCTTCCCACTGCCGTGTAGAAGTTTTGCTTTTCCTATGTTTTTGAAGTCAGGAAAGACTTTTGTGATAGAAAAGAACAGAAATGACTTTTGATCTTTCTGAGCTCTCTTATTTTTTTCTTTAAAGTGTCACTTACCATACAATAAATGTGTATGGATTTACAAAAGGTTGTTCTTTTGCTGCAAAATACCAAGATACCTGTGGCCACACGTGTATCTTCCAAAATCTCTCTCAAATATGAAATGACAAATAATATTGAAAAAAGCTCCCCAAACCAGAGGAATTGAGGTAAATGGTAAAGGTTTGATTTGTCTTTTGTTGAGGAATTTTTGTTTTAGTTCTCAGTGATAATTTCCAGGATTTTTACTTGGCATAGTGCATAAGAGCTACTGTTCTTAAACACTTCCTTCCTGCTGAAAATGCAAGTCTTCTTTGAATAGGAACCATTAGTTTATATGAAACCTGCCACTGGATCCTGGTAAAAACCTGGGCTCTCAAGTGTTCTGAAAATGAAATCAGATTTCAAAAAGATATTGAAATAAAAAGATACTAAAATAATATATATTGCTAAAGAACATAAACTCATTTAAATAGAAAAGGTGAATTATTGGAAGAAGAGATGAATGCTACTCTTCCTTTTGCACTGTCTGACTGCTTTTTCTTAAGTCTATTCTAAGTATCCTGATAGACCATTAAAATGATTCTAGAGAGAAAATGCCATTTGTGTATGTGGCATTCAGTTGCCTGAGATACAGGATTTTAATTTTTTCTTAATAAAGAAAGCTGGTAAACCCAAAGTTCATTGTTGGCCAAAATAGTATTTGTTTTGGTTCAACTGAATTAAGTGGATTGGCAACAGAAATGCACACGGTTCTTGTTCGGTGTTCCATTTTAAGACATCTCACTTCATTTAACAACTGCTAAAACCCCCTGCACTCTTTCGTCTTCCAGCTCTACAGTCTGTGGAAAGAGAAGCACATGTGCATGTTAAAATTGCTTAAAAAAATGACAGATGAAGGACTTTGATTTAGTCTTTACAAAGCAGACACTTAAATTTCTTTCTCAACAAAGCCTTCCTGTTTGTTTCCCAGCAAATTACCTTTGCTTGCTCAGTGGTGCTTGACAATTAGAACGGAAACAGTTCTGGCATAAAAATGAGGGTTTTAATCCAAACAGGGTAGGGCTGAGTGAATCCAAATTCCTATGTCTCAGGAGCGTTGCTTTCCAAATTTTCTAGTCTTTTGTAACTGAAATCAAAAACAGTCAGTCAAAATTTGCCAAATATTTATAAACTGGTTTGCTTCTGCTTTTTTCTTCTCATAAAGGAAAGTATCTGAGAAGTGTCTCCATGTACGCAATAAATGTTTCCATGGAGGCAATAAATAACCAACATTCTGGTATGCACCCATGTCATGTCATGAGACAGGATGTTTGACTTTTACTGAGATTTTTTTGTCCTCTTCAACCCAAAGTAAATAGCTATTCAGTAGGGAGGTGCCCTCTTATGTTGTTAAACACTTGCAAAGGCCCCTTCAATAAGGTAAAACTCAAAAGTTCAGGCAAAACTGCTTGGTTTTGTCACTTTACAGGAATGCAGATGACTACCAAAGAAAATGGCAGCTTTGATGCCATTTCTGATGAGTGATGCTGAAGAACAAATTCCTAGTGAATAAATGTTAATTTCAGTTTTTAGTCACCAGTTGGATGCACTATCTTTTGAGACTAAGAGAAATTTGGTTGAATGTAGGGATAAAAATGTGTCCTCTAACAATTCCCCTCTATTTGACAGTAAAAATAGGGAAGCCTATAGAAGATAGACAAATTTACACTATAAAACGCTGCCGGCTTAAAACAGTATCTGAAACATTGTGGAGTGTCTGTTTTTAATTGATTTTTCTTTGAGAAAACTTAATTCTTCTATTTCTTGCAGTTTTGTATGTTCTTTTCTTGAATAGATATAATTTAAATTAGTTTGCCTACTTAATAATGAAGCTGACAAAGAGAGAAAAATTAATATAAG